CCCCAAAACCCCAAAACCCCAAAACCCCAAAACCCCATATAATGCAAAATAATTTGAACCTGATAATAATATATTAATAAACATGAATAAACTAATCACCTATGAAGAAAATTTATCTGAAGAGTTCCTAGATGAACACGCTTCAGCTTCAAGTGTCAATATATCTCCTAACATTGCTAAGAATATGGAAAAGTGCTTTTTCAACAACAAGATAGAGTTCGTCCGGAACAATGAGCCTAAGACTCCCCCATTGGGCACTTCGAGATTCTCAACATCTCCATGAATCACAGAATCGAAGCAAGATAGTTTCCTTACTGTTCCAAAAAGAATTCCTTGTATAAATTTCTCTAAGACTTCTTCCCCAAAATCCAACCTGCAGAGCGACATTAAATCCTTACTACACAAAGCCATGGAGATCAGGGCTTTCTCTAACCCAATTAGGAAAGGAATAAACACTCCTGCCAATTTAAAACCCAAGAAGGGGCTTGCTAGGAGGAAACTCGTGAGAGGAGTGACTATCCATGACTGTGAAAGCGCCAAATGCTTCCAATAAACCTTAAACTTCTTTATAATAATTAAACTTCGATTCTGCTGTTGGATTCATGCATTCTCCTTCAAACTGCATTGGGTATAGGGGTCAGTATGAATAAGAGTGGGCACTTATTTTAATCTATAAACTTCCGAAGTAACTTGAGTAAATTATTTTTAATCCAAGTTATTACTCACTTAGTCAAGTAGGCATTGAGGATCGTTAGAGGCCATTTGTTGTAGGAGAAGATAAGAGTAATATTTTGTCCAGTGCCTATTAAAGTAAAACCGATTTGGGTTTATATCATCTCTTGCTCATAAATCTTCTCAAACTTCTCATGTAGGCTTTAGAGAAAATTTTATGGTAAATTAATAACTTACTTCCCAAATAATCAAAACTATAATTTAGAAATGCAGCAAGAGGAGATTATTGAAATCCATCTTATATCCTATTTTTGTGATCAGTACCCCAACTCCATTAGTGAGAGTCGAAAATTGTCGCAACCAAACATTTGTAACTCCTGATTCTATCAAAAATATATTTTCCAACTTGGTGACCCATTCAGACAAGTTTGAATTTCGGTTCGGATGACTGTTCAATTTCGGTAGTTTTTTAGTTACCAATGAGACAATAATACTGTGCCCTTTTATAGGACATAAAGAGAGTGAATTTTGTTGCCAGTTTGAGTCTTAACTAACTAAAAATTTATCTATTGATGTTTACTATAAGAATTGGGTAAAAAATATTATGAATAAACTCCGGTCACAAGAAAGATCTGGGAATGGGATGTTCTTATATATGATCTCTGAATTGACTCTTAGTATTAATTGAACTTGGTTTAAATAGTTCCTATATTATTTCCAATGATTTAATAAAGACTTAGAAATATTTTAAGAACTTGGTCATATCTAATAAAAACTTTGTATTAAAATATATAAAAGTTATAGAAGTTATAGAAATCATTCTCGAGTTTTAACCAAAACTCTGAATTTTTAATTGCAACACTCTATCACCCAAATGTTAATCTCTGAAGTCACCAGATAATTTATTTTACTCTTTTCTTTTCTATAAAGAGAATGATGATAAAAACCTTGAATTTACTCTAAATGTACATCATTAGATAACACTATAAAATAAGTTTACTGGTGTTGTTCTTTGTTCTTGTATTTATAGAACAATACACTAACCTTCAGATAACCTAATGTTAAGCACTGATGGTAAAATCTACATAAGTGTCAGATCATCTTCACCACAATTGTGTGAATTCTTGGTCCTAATAGTGTCCCCTTTCTTAAGAAAATATAGAGAATTATTGCTAAATATGAATTATTATAAAGCTGGAGACTATTAATAGCATACAATGCTCCAGAGCCATAGATTTTTAAAAGAAATTAGAGTTTGATTAAGACTTTTAAACCTTTGGGAGACTACTATGAGCAGTCATAGCCACAAATTTCTTATCAATAGAGAACATTTTCATTAGGCGAATCTTTCATGATTCTTAGTCAGGCTGCTTTGCTTTGACTCACTCTATTAAAAATAAGGAGTATATACCTTTTGCTATTATCAGGCCCTTTTTAAATTTTCAAAAAATCGGTTTACTTTTAAAAAGTGAGTAAACGCGTTTTGGAAAATATAGAAACAAATTAAATAGACTCTGAGATAGCTCAGTCAACAAGAGATGGAAAGAGTTAAGACAACTTCAGTCTCAATAGTGTTTGTGATTTTACTAGCTTGAGAGGGACTACCTTGACAAGTTGGCAGTAAGTCGGCTGTCAGAAAATTCTAAAATAACTTGAATAAATTGAATGACTGTTGAAAGTAGACAATTCATATAAAATAATCTACACTAGTGATTTTTCAAGCCTGGACTAGCTAATACAGCTAGGACTACTAGTTAATGCTCAAGGTCCCAACTTTGAAATACTATCTTTTATAGCTCTCAAGCTCTGAATAACAAAATGTCTTTTATTGGTAGTCAGCCTAATATTTAATTCTGGGCGGTGTAACTTTGATTTTAAGTAAACCGGTAATTTTAAATTATGGAAATTAATCAACTGAAGTTCCACCTAATTGAGTATTTGAGGAAAATATCAGTTAAAATGAAGAATTTATGAAAACGTGAGGTTGGTAAACAAATAAGCTGCTACCTCTTCAGAGATTATTATATTGCGCCTCAATGAATTTCGGCATTATTCAATTCTGCTGAAATTATTCGGGGTTTTGGGGTTTTGGGGTTTTGGGG